TTTCTTTTTTTTCTTTCTTTCTTTTTTTTTTTTTTTAGAATTACTTTATTTAACTTTTTATTTATCCATTTATTTTAATTTGACCAGAGAGGGACAGATTGAGTGAGAGAGAAAGTGCAAAACCAAGCTGCCAGGTCCAGGACTAGAACCGCAGTCGGCCGGGTGGAAGTCCAGTGCCCCTAACTACCACGCCCCTTGCTGGCCCCCTTTCTTGCCTTTTTTCTATCAAGATCTTTTTTATCTATTTTTTTTTCTTTTCATAACATTTTAATTTCAGGGTCATCTTTCTAAAATGAGGAGACCCTTCATTAACCTCAGATAAGTCCTTGTCTAATTCTGGCACTCGCCTGGCTCCTTCCTGCTTGTAGGAAACTGGTATTCACTGGGTTTAGTTTTTGTGCCTCCTGCAGGACAGATGTCCCAGCCTTAGGGCCGAACCACAGCTGGTACCAGAGGTACAGATATGAGGGCACCGGGGTGGCTCCTTCCACAGACTGCTGCTAGAACATGACAATGACGTCAGAGTTCCCAGGGGTCCGCTAACACGTCCTTGGCCTGTAGTCACAGGAGCTTCAGAGAACATGGCTGTGCTCGGGGCTCTGTGCCGGCTAGAGTGAGCCACCCGGGGGGATTCCGCGAGGCAGGGCTCCTGCCTGAGAGGGCTGACCATTGTTGAATGTCCAAGCATAGAGACAGAAGAGAGCCCTTAGCCTAAGCCCTTCAGTGTTAGGGGTCGGTTGGTTTTTAAGGTTTTTGCTAGAGAGTGCTTGTGCTTGCTGGAGAGACACAATGAGAGGAAAAGTGAGGGATCACCCCCTGGGGTCATGGCCACTCTGAAATCCTTTCTCGTCCATTCTCCTGGGATCTGGGGCACGTATACACACGCACCCGGCATCATTTTCAGGCTGCCAGGTCCAGGACTCAAACCACTGTCAGCTGGCCACATGGGTGTCCATCACCTTAACCACCACACCACCTGCTGGCCCAAGCCCTCCGGTTTTTGTGTTTTTTTTTTCTTTTTTAACATTATCTATCCATCTATCTATCACTTGTGATGTTCAAGGCCATTTCTTTTTTAACATTATCTATCTATCTATCTATCACTTGTGATGTTCAAGGCCACCAGGTCCAGGACTTGAACCACGGTCAGCCTTGTGAGAGTCCAGCACCTCAACCACCATGCCATCTGCCAGCCCCAAGCCCTTGACCCTGAGCCAGCTGTTACTTGGTACTGATCTCTCCTCTTTTTCCAAGGGTCTGAATCCAGGGAAAGCTATTGCTGAAATCAAGAAAATGATGGCGACCTATAAGGAGAGGAAGGCTTCGGCTTAACTTGTTTCCACACCAGATGTGACTCGTAACCCTCGGAGCGGAGCTTAATATGTGTCTAATTTGAGTTCCTTCAGAGGTCTGATTTTCCATAAATAAAGCATGTATAAATAAAATTTTAAGAAATAAATGTTACTCTACTTTATTAACAAAAACGCAGGCCTGTGCCTTTTGCATGCTACAGAGGTGTGAAGGTGCCAGGATGAAGCGTGGACAGGGCTCCAGGACTGAGCCCTGGTGGTGGACGGGGGTTCAGTGAGCACAGCATGGGACAGACTATCGAGCAGGGCCTGCGACTCGTTTCCAGCCCTGCCCTTCATAGCGGGTGGCCTTGGACGAGTCCCTTCGCCCCTTTCCTGCTCCCTGTGCCCATCTGTAAACTAGGAGTCAAAGCCGGGCCTGGCTTCCCTGTCTGACGTGGGAACGCCTGGCATGCACCCTGAGTGCTCGGTGAATGTTCCCGTTTTCAGTGTTCGTTATTCAGAGCCGACCTCGGTAGGTCTCGATGTGTCGCGGAAGCAAGATTAGTGATTCCTCCAGCATCAGCCAGTGACCCAGATCAGCTCTGAGCCCCAGTGACTTCCACAGGTGACCAAGGCCCTGTCACTGCACACACTGATCCCCACCTCGGCTGAGGCTCCCAGGCTCACTGCACGAGCCGAACCACCGGAAAACAAGCAGCGCAAAGAAGCAGAAGGGAAGAAGCCGAGCGTCTCCAGCTTCCCCGAGGCCCACATCCCCTACTGACAGTTTATGTGTTCCCTTCCAGACAGGTTATTTCAAATGTGACACACATAAAACTTCCTGCTTCAGAAACGGTCTGGGGCCAGCAGATGGCATGGTGGTTAGGGTGCTGGATGCCCACGTGGCGAACCACAGCTCAAGTCCTGGACCTGGCATCATGCTTTCTTTTCCCTCTTTCTCTCTCTCTCGCCCTGTGGTCAAATTTAAACAATAATGATGAATAAAATTAAATAAAATAATTCTTTTTGGGGGGAGAGGGGGTTCCGCGATAGGGCGTGTGCGCTCACCAGACAGAGACGTAGAGACAGCGAGAAATCACCCCCCAGGGGGGATGGTCACGCCGCAATCCCTTCTCCTCCATTCTCCTCTCGGGATCTTGGGCACACACGCACATGCGCCCGGCGTGAGTTTTAAGCCACTGGGTCCGGGACGCGAACCACGGTCAACTACGTGGGAGTCCAGCCATTACACTAACTGCTGGTTCCCAATAAAATAATTCTTAAAAAAATAAAAAGGGTATGACAGACCGTTCACAGCCCGCTCTTCGTACCCTACAGCACACGAGGGGCTGCAGTGCCAGCAAAGACCATCTGTGTGTACAGGCATCTCTCGACCCGCGGAGCTGCAGCCTGTGTACCCTGCAGCGTGGGCGTACCCTAACTTATTTAGTCATTCTGCCCCAGTGCACCTCTCCGTGCTCCCTAGTTTACTCGTAATAAATCAAGGCTGCAATTTTTTTTTATATATTTTTATTTTTTCCCCCTTGATTCCCTCCCACCCCCCATTTCCTACCCTGCTCCCAAACTCCCTGGTGTCAGTGGCTGGGGTGCTTTCATGCCTTCTAATCTCGTTTCTGCCATAATATAGACGCAGGCTGGTTTCGTTTTGGGGTTTTTATTTTAGGTTTTTGCTATAGGGTGCATGTGCTCACCAGAGAGAGTGAGAAGGAAAGTGAGAAATCACCCCCCAGGGGAGGTGGCCATGCTGCAGTCCCTGCATTCTCTCAGGATCTGGGGCATTCACGCACGTGCACCCAGTGTGCCACCGGGTTCAGGATTCGAACCACAGCCAGCCATGTAGGAGTCCAGCACCTTAACCACTTCCAAAGCTGCTTTTTTTTTTTTTCATAAAGAAAAAAAATTTTAACTTTATTTACTTATTTTTAATATGACCAGGGAGGGACAGAGTGTGAGAGAAAAAGAAAGAGGAGAGGGAGAAAGCAAGCTGCCAGGTCCAGGACTCAAACCATGGTCAGCCATGTGGGAATCCAGTGCCCTTAACCACCATGCCACCTGCCGGCCCCAAAGCTGCTTTTAAGTCATAACTGGAAACTTCCCGATCATCCTGAACCAAAGTTTCTTGTATCATGACGTAAGTGGCTCAGAAAATGTCTGACTCACCAAGAATGAACCTTAATAAGCTTTTCTGACTTTAAAAGGAGTCCATTCAACAAGCATTATTAGTTTGAGGCGTTGTGGGAGGTGAGGTGCTGGGGATAAAGATCAACAAGATCCCCTGCCACCAAGAGCCAAAGTTGTGAAAGGTAGAAACATTGACGTGTGAGAGAGTTGATTAACAGGCTCATTTGGAATGGCCCTGGTAGAACCCCCACTGGGGAGCTAGGAGGCACATGGGAGGCCTGGGTTCAGATCCCAGTCCAACCTGGACACACCAGCACAGCTGCACAGGCCTGTCATCCCAGTTAACTGGAGGGTTGGGGCAATAGGATCACAACAGTCTGGACCATCAAAAATAGCTGTCTCGGGACCAGCAGCTGGCGTGGTGGTTAAGGGCGCTAAACTCCCACAGGGCTGACCATGGTTCGAGTCCTGGACCTCGCAGCTTGCTTTCTCACTCCTCTCTCTCTCTCTATCCCAAATAAAATCTTTAAAAAAAAACCAAACCTGTCTCTCTTGGGACCAGTAGTTGGTGTAATAGTTACACTGGTGGACTCCTACGTAGTCGACCACAGTTCACGTCCTGAGTCCAGTGACTAGAAAATCACGCCAGGCGCGTGTGCATGCGTGTCCAGAATCCCAAAAGGAGAATGGAGGAGGGGGGATTGCGACGTGGCCGTTCCCCCAGGGAATGATTCCTTTGCTTTCTATCTCTCCAGCAAGTGTACGCACCCTATCGTAAAATCTCCCTCAAAAAAATAGGGACCAGGGGAACCAGCAGTTAGCGTAATGGCTATGTCGCTGGACTCCCACGTAGTTGACCGCAGTTCGCGTCCCGGACCCGGTGGCTTGAACTCACGCCAGGCGCGTGTGCGTGCGTGCCCAAGATCTCGAGAGGAGAATGGAGGAGAAGGGATTGCGGCGTGGCCATCCCCCCTGGGGGGTGATTTCTCGCTTTCTGTCTCTATGTCTCTCTCTGTCTGTCTGGCAAGTGCACGCGCCCTATAACGAGAAAACCTCTCCAAAAAAATAAAATAAATAAAATAGGGAGCAGCTTATGGCACAATTGTTTCATTGCTGGTCTCCCACATAGTTGACCGTAGTCTGAGTCCCAGACCCAGTGGCTTAAAATTCATGCCAGGCACATGTGTATGTATGCCCAAACTCCCAAAAGGCGAATGGAGGAGAAAAGGGATTGCAGCATGGCCATCCCCCCACTCAGGAGGTGATTTCTCGCTTTCTGTCTCTCTCTCTTTCTGTCTCTCCAGTGAGCACATGTACCCTATAGCAAAAAAATCTCTAAAAATAAATAGCTGTCTCTCCCTCAAAAGAAAGCTTTAGAGAATAAGGTAGGTCTTCGTTCTCAACTACAGCATCTTAGGATTTTTTTTCTTTAGGTTTTTGCCATAGGGTGTATGCACTTGCTGGAGAGAAACAAAGACAGAAGGAAGAAATGCGAGAAGTCCCTCCCAGTGGGGATAGCCATGCCGCAATCCCTTCTCCTCCACTCTCATGGGACTTGGGGCATGCATGCACATGCGCCCAGAGTGATTTTCAGGCCACTGGGTCTGGGACACAAACTGCAGTCAGCTACGTGGGAGTCCAGCACCTTACCTACCACACGATCTCCTTGTCCCTCAGAATTCTTAATTACCTTAGCAAGACCACACAGTACACAGTCCTTAGGGGGAAGGGCCTTAAATTCAGACATGAGCACTGAAAACCTCAGGCTGATAGCAATGCACGGGCTTGATTGGCAGCAGGACCGAGCTGCCCAGGACCTGGGACAGCTTCTGTCCACCTTGGGGTAGGTCACTTACTGGGATTCATGGGTAACTTCTCCTTGTTTCTTTTCGTTGTTAAATAATTATTTCATTTTTTTTGTTATTATCATTTAATTTGCTATAGGGCACCAGAGAGAGACACTGAGAGAGGGAAAATGCCACCTTGCCACCCACTGGCCCCTCATTTCTCTTCGTTTCTAACCTCTACATCTGCAGAGGAGGTTTTTTTCTTCACGAATAACTTACTGGCCTGTAAAGATGAGTTCTGCCACCCCCACTGCAGAACGGGCAGATAAGAGGCCAGGCGTGGCAGGGGAACCGCTGCTTCAGGTCACTTCAGCAGATGTCACGTGTGCAGCTGCAGCTCACTCTCACCCATGGGATTGAGCTACGTTGGAAACTGTTGTCAACTGATAGTTGAATTTATGGCTTATTTCATCTTTCACTGGATTGCAGGCAAATGTTCTATTTCAACAGTCACAGAGACTCTTCAGATAAAATGGTGGGCCTGACCAGAGAACAATGCCAGGGGCCCCCAATCCCCAGGCCTCGGACCACTACCGGTCCATGGCCTGTTGGGAACCAGCAGGAGGTGAGCAGTGGGCCGGGGAGCACAGCTTCCTCTGCATTTACAGCTGCTTCCCATCACTGGCATCCCCGCCGAGCCCCGCCTCCCGTCAGATCAGCGGTACCATCAGATTCCCAAAGGAACGTGAACGCTATTGTGAACCGCACATGCGAGGGGTTTAAGCTGCGTGCTCTCTTAAGCCATCTCCCCACCCCCAGCCCCCATCATGCAAAAATCATCTTCCATGAAACTGGTCCCTCGCACCAAAAAGGTTGGGGGCCACTGCTCGATGCTATTTCTGTGCCAGGGGCAGGAGGCCAGAGACGGTTTCCTGCAAAGTACCTTTACTTACAAAATAAAACTGCAGAACGGTCTGGATTTCTCTAGGGATGAAACTAGTCATGACCTCTTACCTGGTCTTTGGGCAACTTGAACCTCTATACCCCTTGTCTTCCTATTTATAAAAGGGGAATTAACAGCATTCACGTCTCAGAATTATGGTTGAAGTCTAAATAAGAATAAATGTGTGGGCCAGCCAGCGGCCTGGTGATCCAGGGAGTCAGATCCCACACAGCCAAGTGAGGCCCACCCCAGCCCAAATTCCAACAGGATAGAGACATGGAGAAAGGATCAACATGACCATGCTCCCATGGGAAGTGCTTGCTCCCTCTCCCTCTCCTTCTGTCTCTGTCTCTCCCTAGTGAGGGCACATGCCCTCTGGCAATAAATAAATAAGTACGAAAGCATCTTGCCTGCAGTAGAGGCGACTGCTCCATAAATTCCATGTAACTCATCTGTCCTGGATACTTACTGTGAGCGTTACCCTATGGCCTGCTAGTTAAGGGAGCTGGATCTTTCATTGTGGAATACAGTTCAAATCCCCAGCCAAGGCCCCAAATCCCAACAGAATAGAAAAATGAAGACGGGATTGAGGTGTGACCACACCCCCACTAGGGGTGTTCTCCCTCTCCTCTTTCCTCTCTGTCTCTCTGTCTCTGGCAAGCACATGTACCTTACAGCAGAGTTGTAAACATGTACTGTGAGAACGGCCTTCTATTGAAAGCCATGAAGACTACAAAGGTAACTAATTTCCAGCCCTCTCAAGTTGACAGTTTGGTATATTTCTTTTTTTTTTTTTAATTTATTTAATCTATCATTATTATCATTTTTTAGCAAAGTTCTTTTTTTTCTTTTTTTTAGAATTATTTTATTTAACTTTATTTATTATTATTATCATGATTATTTTCCAGTTTGATCAGAGAGAGACAGAGAGGAAGTGAGAAAGCAAGCCACCAGGTCCGAGATTTGAACCGTGGTCAGCCATGTGGGAGTCCAGCACCTTTAACCACCATGCCACTTGCCAGCCCCTTCGTTATTATCACTTTTTTAAATATTTGCTACGGGGCATTTGCACTCACCAGAGAGTGACAGAGAGACGGAGAGAGAGTGAGAAAACAAGCCACCGGGTCCAGGACTCAAACTGCGGAGTCCAGCGCTGTGGTCGCCACACCACCTGCTGGCCCAGGATTGCTAGATCTCTGACCTGACCAGCTTGGGCTGGCGGCCGTCTGTTCAGAGGACAGTTTTTCCGTGCAACGCTAACAGTGCTCACGTCCCATCTCTCGTATCACCCTGCCTGCCCGGTGCAGAGGGCTCCTCATTGCTCAGATCCCCTCCAGGGCCCCTCCCTTCCTTGCCACAGGAGCACCATGAGAAAACCATCCAGTCAGGTCACTGTGGGTCTAACTGACCATAATCCTACCACGGGGTCTGTCACTGATAAGAAAATCCCCTTTTGTTGCACAAATCTACTGAAACTAGAGAAACAGAATACAATGCTATGTAATAAACTGGCCCAAATTAATGACTCAGGCCTTCTGCTGATTGGACCAGATCTGTTATGTCCTCCTCCAGAGCCCTCAAGAAAGCAGCCGTCCCAGCCTACGTGTGACTGGAAATTTCTGGCATGGCTGACTAGGAGGAGGAGCTGACCCACAGACCACAGAGCGAGAGCCACTTCCCCAAAGGAAACCCCTGCAGATAGCAGGGCCGTCATCCTCTGTGGCCGGGAAAGACGCCTCCTCGACCTTCCGCCCTAGGGAGGAGACAGCTGTAGGCTGCAGGTGCAGCCCTTTCCCAGGTGGCTCGGGGTGGAGCCTCTTCAACACGGAGCAGCCTCAGCAATTCAGAGAATGGGGTGATCAACCTCACAGGGCAGCCCCAAGTCCCCGGCTTCTGTGATGCCTCTAACCTAGTGCCCGAATCTGGAGAAAGCAGCTAGTTTCTGCCAAGCACCTGCCCTCTCGTTTCACCCTCTCAACAGCTCCTATCTTACAGGCGAGGTGAGAAGCTCAAGAGAGGGCAAGTGACTGGTTTTTAAGTGCCAGAGGCCACTGCACCATATCAGAGAGAGGAGATGGGGCGGGGAGGTGGGGGGAAGATAATCCCAGCAGGCGTGGTCTCACTTCAGCCTCTTCTCCCCATCTCCGTCCTGTTGGGATTTGGGAGCACACACACACACGCATGTGGCATGTTTTCCAAGGCAGCAGGTAGGAATGGCCAGAATTTGAACTGTGGTCAGCCATGTGGGAGGCAGCTCCCCTAACCACTAGGCTATGGGGCCAGCCCAGAATGCGACTTTCTACCGCACACAAAGCAAACGATGCACATTCTCACCCAGTTCTTCTCATGCCAAAGCCCAGCCCCTTATCCACTTCACACGCCACATCTTAGCAAGGCCATCTGAGCTAGTCATTTCCAAACCCAGCCACCCTGCTGCCCTGGGGAGTAGCCCACCAGGCATTTGGCTAAGTCCTGGGGCAGGAGCGGGCGGAGGGCTCTGAGAAGTTAAGCAGCTGCCCCTGCTGAAAATGACACCTGCAGGTGAAGCAGAGCATCTCCCGCCCCTGCCAACCCAGTGAAGCCAGCCCCATACCCCAGGGGGTCAACAGGAAAAGCACCCCAATCTGCTCCCCCAGCAGGCTGCCCCAGCTCAGCCAGTGACTCTGCTGTCCCCAGCTATCAGGCCAGTACCCGGGGGTGTCTTTGATTCCACACTCCTGTGCCTCCCTGGCTTGTCCTAGGCAAGTCTGCCAACGTGCGTTCCTGCTCTGAGTCCGCTGAGCTCTTGCCGTGTATCAGGTGCAGCCCATCCCCACTGCCAGCCACCACAGCCCAGTCTCCTTCCAGCCCTCCCACAGCAGGTTATTATTAGAGACGTCATCGCTTGCCTTTGGCTGCTCCGTAGGGCCAAGGGCTTGTCTGTTTTGTCCACCCTCACGATGCCAGCTCCCAGAGTGTGCCCAGTACACCCCAGACTCCACCGGACAAATGATGGATCGCGCCCAGGCCTTCCCTTGGCCCTAGTGCAACTCCTCCCTGGTCTGCACTGGGACTTCACGGACCCACCCTCCACCCAGAGCTCCTCTTGACCCCAAGTCAGGGGACTGCCATGTCTGTGCCTTCACTGGGGCAGTGAAAAATGCTGCACACAAAGATGCCATCTCCACACATCCCACCTGTGTGGGTATGTCCACAGGTCATGCTGGGAGGCGCCCAGGGCTGGGTACCTCCACTCTTTCTCTGGCACTTTTGAGGCCTCCTGTGCATCATCTCGGTCTCCCTTGCATCCCCGTGCATGTCTGCGGGGCACACCTAACCACACCAGTCTCCGGGCAGGTGCGTCTTTCTTCTTCCACATTTGTCAAGCAACGCCAGTCACTGTCCCAAATGCATGCATGTTCCCGTTTGGTCCCCTCAACTGTGAAATAGGCACTGCGAATGTTACCATCCTAGGCTAGGAAATGAGGCTGGAGAGGTTAAGTCTGGCCCATTGTGACACTGCCTGGAAGAGATGGAGGTCAGCTTAACCCCTCCGTCTCTTTCCAGTCCTTTCCGCAGCAGGTTATCGCCGGAGTTCCTGAGCTGTGAGCAACTAGGACTGACTCCGAGTCTGCGGCCTGTGTGACGCGTGTGTCTGCCCAAGGGCTGCCCTGCCCGTGCGTCCCAGCGTCCTGCCTCAGTGTGTGCAAGGGCGGAGGCCGGGCTGGGACTACAAGTCCCGGCAGTCCAGGCGCGCGGCCCGCGACGTGGGCCGCAGAGGGCCGGGCGGGGCTTGGCGAAGCGCAGAGACCGACTGCGGCACCGTCGGAGCTGCGCCGTCTCCGGGTCGAGCAGGTGCCTCCGCCCCGCTCCACGTCCCCTGCCGCGCTCCCCGTCCCCCGCCCTGTGCCCCGGGCCTCCGGGACCTCTCGGACCGCGCCGCCGCTGGGGCCTAGCGCACACCGGGCCACGGGCCGCAGCGCCGGGGCCGGCGATGAGCTCCAGGAGCCGGCATGCGCGGCAGGTGAGTGCGGAGCCCGAGTCGGCCCGGCCGGCCCATCGTCCCATCGTCTCACCTGCGGGGACCGGGGTGGTCGCGAGCCAAGAGAGCAGCTCCTGTGCGGGGTTCCTGGGCCCGTCCCCTGTCCTGTGCACTGACGGCCCTGATCCCTTCCGAGACAGAGAGAGAAAGAGAGAGAGACAGAGAACAGAGGCCCGGATGACGCCCCGCGCTGCCCAGCGCCGCGCGCCGCCGACCCTCCGCGCCTTCCTAGGTCTGGCCGCCGGGGGTGAGGAAGCTCCAGGCGCTTGTGCAAGACGGTCATTACACGGGGCTGGGAGAAGGGGAGATGGCCCCACTCCCACTGACTTGGATCCCACCCCGAGCCAATGTCCAGGTGGGAGGGAGGCGTGGTGGCTGCTGCATCCTAGGGCACCTGCTACCTCTGGACGGTCACCTCTCGGCTGAATGAATGAATGGGGCTGGGAAAGCCCGGTGTCTTGGGTCCCTGGGTGAGAGTGTTGTGAAGCACAGACACCACTCCTGGGCCTCTGCCGCTGGCTGGGGAAGCCTGTCGCCACCTAGGCCCCAGGACCACACCCTCCATGTTCCCCATCCCTCTTTCCAGAGGCCAATTTAAGTCTTACCTGCTACAAATGGGGCTCCTAGACCTCTCCTGTCCAGAAGGGTCTCATCTCCATGTCAGTCACCAAGACCCCAGACCTCAGCAGAGGATCCCCCAAGGTTCTCTCTGCAGCTGCAACCCCTCACTCCTATTCTCCCCTCCCCTGGCTCTGCAGCTCCCAGCCTGGACAGCACCCCAGTGAGGGAGGGGGCAGAATAAAGAAAGATGGCTCCCAGACTCCAGATGCAAAGACCAAACAGATTCTCACACCCACACACCCTGGCTCCGGCCTGGCAGAGGACAGGCTCCTGGCTGCGGGGCAACCACAGCAAGGGAAGAGGCAGCCGCCCTGGGCAGCTGCCAGGTCACCAACAGGAAGCTGGGCCTCCCGCAGGAAACAAGGGCTTCCCAACTGGCTTTGACTCCAGCCCAACTGTCTACAGCACTGGTGGCATTGCTGCCAGGGCTGTGGACTCGACCAGCTTCAGATCCAGTCTTGACCATTCATAGCTGTGTGACCTTATGCCTATCAGTCACCCTCTCTGGGCCTTTTTTTCTTTTCTTTTTTATTTATTTATATATTTTTTGTGAATGTGCATTCATCAGAGAAGAGAGAGAGAAAGTAAGAAGTCACACCTCCCCCAGGAAAGATAGCTGCACCACATGCCCTCCTCCTCCAGGGTTTCGGGCGTGCACACCCCTGCACCCAGCTTGATTTCCAAGCTGCCTGGTCTGGAACTCAAACCGCAAAGTTAGCCATGTGGGATCCGGTGCCTTAACCCGCATGCTACCTGCTGGCCCCATGAGCCTCTTTTTTTTTTTTTTTTCCAATTGCCAGGGACAGATGCAGTCATCAAAGAGAGAGGGAGAGAAAGGAGAAAAAGCACCCCAAGGGGCATGTTCACACTGCAATTCCTTCTTGATCTCTGTCTTGGGTTTTGTGCCAGGCTTCCTCTTCAAGCCTCCAGGACTGGGATTCGAACTGTAGACCCTTGTAGGATCTGGCTTTCTTACCCACTAGGCTACTGGCTGGCCAGGGGCCTCATTTTACATGGGGATCGTAATCCATTATTTCATGGGGTGGCTTGGGATATATTAAGAGGAACATGTTCATTCAGACCCTGCTTATTTTTGATTTCTGCCTTTCAAGCTGTGAAACTCTGGGCCCGGGGCCTGGGAGCTCTGTTCCTCAGTCTCCCGCTGTAAAGTAGGGGTGGCGACAGCCCGCCCACAGGTCCTGCGAGGAGGGCCGGTGAGTGAATGCACCGTAGGGCGCCCTGCACCGCACCGCAGGCACTCGAGTGTGGGTCGCTGTTATTCAGAAGACCGCGAACCGCCGTCGTGAGCGCCTTCCCATCCCACAGAGCCTGCGTGCCGGCTCTGGGCTGGTGGAGCTGCCGAGAACCGAGACGACGTCCCGCAGCAGCCCTGGGGAGACAACTGTGGTTAGAGATCAACGGGCACCTTGGCGTGTCAGACAGGTGCCCTGCAGGAGAGGGTGCCTGCGTTTGACCCTTGCCAGGCCTCTAGAGCCTCCCACAGATGTGACGCCCGCCCGCAAGCTCGTTTCCCGAGGCTGGCTAGAGCATCCTCGTGAAATGACAGGCATGTGATAGGCACAAGGAAGAGCTCCCCAGAGGGGATCCTGCTTAGATCCGGGGCTCCCTGGCAAGCCCTGCACCCACAGCTGGCTGCCCGGGGCAGGGCTGGGCATGAGACTCGAGGCCTGCCTGCCTCCATACCCTGTTATGTCTGAGAGGTTTGCATCCATTTATTCCTCACCCGGGGCCTTCGGTAGCTCCTTTCCACTGGAGTCGTGGCCCCAGGGTTTCCAGGCAGCTGGGCCAGTGCAATGGGCCTGGGGGAACAGTGCTGCAGCTGTGGGTTTCAGCGAGAGGAGAGACTCAGGAGAGACTTGGGCAGTTTGGAAGCACGCCCCCTCCACAGGGGAGTAGCTACCGCCCGCCTGTGAACTTCAGGGCACCTGGGGCAGCCAGTGGCTGCTCACACTCCCCCCGTGTGCCAGCTTCTTTGTGCCAGCCTGGGGCTGGGAAGCGGAAGCCCAGTGAAGCTGAGGCCGTAAGCAACACAGCTGGCTTGGAAGAGGGCCAGGAGCTCAGTTCATGATGCAGACGCTGAGGACCCACTGTCCTGCCCCTCCGTGGCCTCCTTACAGACCTTCCAGTCTGTAAAATACAGGTCCAGGTAGTCCCCGCTTCCTGGGTCGTGGTGTGGAATAAAGGAGTGGACCCGTGCAAAGCCCTGGGACTGTGCCCGGCCGGTAGTAAGCCTATAACCCGAGGGCTCATTCCCCTTCCACTGCAGACATCCTGAGAACACCCGAACTGCCCTACCTCGGGGAGCCGATCTCAGGGTGGCGAGGGTCCCACAAGAACAGCTGGGACTCCATGACAAGCAGCAGGTGAAAGCTGTGGGTGGGTGGTGGCGAGACCTGCGAAGCCAGCACTGCAGACTTTGTCAGTCGTGCTGGGCGCCCACTCTGCCCCAAATCCACCCCACCCCGGCTACACCAGCGAACAGAGGGCCCTCGGCTATTCCTTGTCTATAGCCCGTGGGCTGTCGTCCAGAAGGGAAGGAAATGATTCTCCAGCCCTGACAGGACACGTGGGAACTGGGCCAGGCCAGAGACCAAAGGGATAGCAGAGAGCCAGCCAGCCAGCTCCATCACGCCAGGGGCCTGGGCTGGGGCCACTGCGAGGGCCTTCTGACCCCTTCCAGCCTTGACGGTCTAGCCCTCCTGCTGGGCCTGGCCAGAGACCCCCATGGGCGGACTGCAGGCTTGTGTGTGTGTGCACGCGTGCATGCGTGTGTGTGAACACGTGCGTGTTCCCCAGACACAGCCTCTTCTGGAGCCAGTGACAGCACCGTTAGGTTTGAATCCGCCGAGTGGACAGGCGAGAGATTACATAGGGCTTTGGTTCGTTTGGCTTTTGTCGTCTGGCTGTGAGAGGCCTCAGGGGGTGCATGGCCTAGTCTCTGAAAGTGCCCACGGGAGTCCAGAAGCGCAGGATCTGGGCCCCCAACTTCTGGCTCCACCACTTACTGGCGAGCCTTCGCACCTCTGGGTCTGATTTCCCTCTTGGTGAAATGGGAGCCCGAGGCCCCTCCTGCTGTGGCGGGGAGGGTTAAGGGCGCTGATTCACGTGGAGGCTCAGGGCAGCCTCTGCCACTCAGCCGCTCTAGTCACTGCGGCCGTGCCCCAGTAATTACCGCTGCGTCATTCTGGGAGAAGGCCTGGGGGCTGGGAGAGCAGAGGACAAGTCTGGGGACAGAGGGTGCCAGCCCTCCAGGTGCTCCCAGTGACGAGCGCTCCGCCTGAACCCGTGGGTTATGCCCGCAGTGTTACGTTGTTACGTCCTTCCTTAGCCTACTGCTGTTTCTTTGTGTGTGTGTGTGTGTGTGTGTGTGTCTTTTCAAGTGAGAACGCGGTTAGAATTACTTTTATTTGATTAATTTTATTGACTGTTACTATTTTTCAATTTTGACCAGAGAGAGAGGGAAAGTGAGAACGCAAGCCACCAGGTCCAAGACTCAAACCATGGCCAGCCACGTGGGAGTGCAGCGCCCCAACCTGCTGCTTTTTCTCAGTTGGCTTGGTGCTCAGCAGAGAAGAGCGATAGTTATGCCCCTAACGCTCACCGAAGGGGGAGAGGGTGCCAATAGCCGGGGGCCGCACTGTGGCAGATAGGTTGGCTAACCCAACACCTGACCCATGCCGTTTCTTCTTTTTTAAAGAATTATTTATTTATTTAACTTTATTTGTTATTATTATTTTTTTTTTTAAATTTGACCAAGAGAGAAAGGGAAAGTGAGAAAGCAAGCTGCCAGGTCTGGGACTCAAACCGCAGTCTGTCATGTGGGAGTCCAGCACCCTAACTGCCATGCCACCTGCTGACTTCTCTTCTTTTAACCAGAGGGCACATATGCTTGCTGGGATGGGAAGGGGAGAAAGCACCCCTAGTGGGGCACGGTGATGCTGCCATCCTTTCTCCATTTCTCCGTCCTTTGGGGGTCTGGGGCGCACATGCACACACACCCAGTGTGTCTTTCAAGCCACTGGAGCAGGGAGTCACAGCACGCGGCTGGCCGTGTGGGATCTTAACCTCCAGGCCGCGAGCCAGCCGACCTGGGTCATTTCTTGCTTGCTTCCTCTGCAACAGAGAACAGGGAGCTAAACACTGGCCATCCCGGGCAGGTCCCTGCAGCTGGAGGTGGCGCAGGACCCTGCTGCAGCATGAGACGGGAAGTGAAATGCCCCGTGGTACCCCTTTGCTTCCTCCTCGCTCCCCTGGAGGGTGAGCACGGGCCTGCAAGGCAGCAGTTGGCCAGGAGAGCACAGCAGAAAGAACAAAAGGACCCCTGGTGGCCGCATAGCTATGTCACCAGCCCTGGGTTACACTATTCAGGCTGCTTTTTACACGTGACAATGACACCCCTCTCCACTTTTAAATTGGCTATAGGGCACATGTGCTTGCAAAAGGAAAACTGAGAAAGCATCCCCCCCCCGGTTGGGGATGGACACACACAATCTCAGTCCTCTCTCCATTCTACTGTTGTGGTTTTAGCGCACATGCCCCACCCCCCATGTTTTTCAAGCCCCTGGATTTGGGATTCAAACCTTGCTGTCAGCCATGTGGGATCCAGCTACCTTAACCACCGTGCCATTGACTGGTGCATCCCTTGTTTAACACGAAAGCAAGCAAAACCCAGCCTAGAGCCAGCTTACATTTACAGCCACTATATACTTGCTGTGTGATCTTGGGAAGGTTACCTGCCCTCTCTGAGTCTTGTTCTTGTCTATAAAAGGAGATCATTGTCACGGTTACCTGCAGGGTTACTGTATTAACCATGTAAAAAGGCCAAGCAGCAGAGTCTCCAGGGAATGTTGACTGTTAGGATTACTACTAGGCTCGGGAAGCTTCTGAAGCCAAGTGCTTTGATGGAAGCTGAGACTGGGGCTGTGACCGGCGTCGCTGCCGAGACACCGAGCTTGCTCAGTAGGAACTTGGAGAAGGCTCAAGTTGTGGGGTGGATGAAGGAGGCCAGGAGAGCAGCAGCCTGCCCATGCCCCTGCTTTCCCAGCCCCCTTAGGAACTTCTCCAGAGGCTCTGGTGGAAACCCTCAGATGCCCAGCACCCCCACCACCCCCACCCCAAGGTGTTGATCAAGCAGGTCCAGGCAGGGCCTGTCCCCTCCAAGGTCCAGCACGCCGGCTGTCTACCCGCCCTGCTGAAACCACAGCTCTATAGCAGAGGAGGCAGGAGAAAGATGTCTGCCGTAGAGCCGCCTGGTCCTCCCTGAGCCACGACTTACCCGTCTGTAAAGACAGCCCTACACCTGCCACTCCATCAGTCCGGACTCCACTGCTCAGCATCTCACTGCCGGGCCTGCCCTCAGCACAGGGATCAAAGACGTAGTAAGGAGAAGAGCAAGTCACACGTTCATCGCTTGGTGGGCGCCAGGCACTGTCCGGACCACCCCAAGTGGCCCCTCTTGTCCACTGTAGCCCTGTGGGTAGGCACAGTCACTGCCCCCGCTTTACAGATGAGAAAACAGGCACAGAGAGGCTAAGCGACTTGCCTAAGGTGTCGTCAGAGAGAATGACATTCTCGTCACTGTTAATACCATCGGCATCTGTTTGTCGACTAACCCGGAGAGGTGGTTTGGGCCCAGTCGGGAACAGAGAAAGCCTTCTGGGTGGGGCGGGTGAGGAATGGAGACGTGGGCACAGCTGCAAGGATGTGGGAGGGCAGGATGCTCACCAGGCCTTGCCTCTAATCTTGGGCCACACCCGGGCCAAGGTAACCAGACACACAAGGAAATAAGACACTGTGAGCAAGAACCACCAGAATGGCCAGATGACAGGCCCTTGAAGACTTGAGCTGCTAGATTTATTAGACTAACTTGTAAAACAATGACACCATTATGTTTAAAGAAGTCAGACGAGGAGGAGCCTTCCCCTAAGTAACCTATCTCTCTCTGTCCACAGACAGCAGCCCGCTTGTGGGCAACACGCCCGCCAGTTACGGGACCCTAACGATAGAGACATCGATAGATCCCCTCAGCTCCTCAGTTTCATCCGTGGTATGTGGGCAGAGCAGGGGCAGTGGAAACGCCAGGTGGGATTATTCCCCAGGCCCACCCAGACACCCAGCCCCTGCCCCTCTCCAGCTGGGCCTTCTCCCCCTACTGCATTCGCAGAGGCTCAGCGGCTACTGTGGCAGTCCATGGAGGGTCATAGGCTATCACGTCGTGGTCTGGGTGATGGCTGGGATCCCTTTGCTGCTCTTCCGGTGGAAGCCCTTGTGGGGGGTGCGGCTCCGGCTCCAGCCCTGCAACCTGGCCCGCGCCGAAACACTCGTCATCGAAATAAGAGACAAAGAGGTGAGGCCAGGCCTGCGGCTGGACACGGGCAGCGATGTCAGGGGCGAGTAGGAGTGGAGGGTGCTGGGTTGCTCAGCCCAGTGCCGACTCTGCAGGACTGAGGCAGGTGGTTCTCTCTGGACCTCAGCTTTCTCATCTGCAGTGGGCAGAGGGGCTCTGCCTTTTCCAGAGGGGCCACCTGGTTGCAGGCCTGGGCCTGGGGGTGGGGGCCGCCTTTCAGATTGAGTTTACACCATGCGTTCCAGGATAGCTCGTGGCAGCTCTTCATCGTCCAGGTACAGACTGAGGCCATCAGCGAGGACAGGTGAGGACGCCCCAGCGCCCTCCCCCACAGCCCTGCTTCCCCTGCTCCCCACAGAGGTTCTTGGCCTGTTCTCCCATCCCAGGGAGGGAGGGACTGTGGGGTCAGGAGGTGCCCAGGCAGCTCCTGGAGCTCCGGAGTAACCCCGACGCTGCTCCAGCCTGGAGCTGTCCTCGCAGGCCCAGGCAGAGGACGGCCGGAGCCAGGCAGCTGTGGGAGCAGTGCCCGGGGGTGCGTGGAAGGACACCGCCCAGCTGCACAGGAGCGAGGAGGCGGTGAGTGGGCAGCTGGGTTCTGGACAAGTCCTAGCCCCTGCCTGGGCCTCAGTTTCACTCTGTTCAGTAAGAGGGGTGGGCTCCTTGTTCTTCAAGCACCTTCCGGTTCTGTTGCTCCAAACATCTGGAATTTTGGCACATCGTGCTTTGTACTTTGTGCCTCTCCCACCCCAGTTTCCTGTGACACTGGCCCCTTTCCCCAACACAAGCACACCCTCCCAGGGCTGGGTCCAGCCTCCAGCCAGCCTCTCCTCTCTCCTACCAGAAGCGGGTGCTGCGATATTACGTCTTCCAGGGCCAGCGCTATGTCTGGATCGAGACCCAGCAAGCCTTCTATCAAGTCAGGTAGGTGCTGCCCACGGGATCCACTCACTCCCATGGGTGGCTTGAGCTGGCCTGGCCTGGCCTGACCTGGGCCCCCTCCGCTCTGCTGCCTTTGACCCTGAAACCTTGAGCAAGTCACTGTGCCTCTCCAGGCCTGGGACTCTCGTCCTCACCTCTAGGTTATTTAAAAGTGACGTATCTAGGGGAACCAGCAGTTAGCGTAATGGCTATGTCACTGGACTCCCACGTAGTCGACCGCGGTTCGCGTCCCGGACCTGGTGGCTTAAAACTCACGCCGGGCGCGTGTGCGTGCGTGCCCAAGATCCCGAGAGGAGAATGGAGGAGAAGGGATTGCGGCGTGACTATCCCCCCTGGGGGGTGATTTCTCGCTTTCTGTCTCTCTGTCTCTGTCTGCCTGGCGAGCGCACACGCCCTATAGTGAAAA